TGCAAAATCTCGTTGGTGGTCGTAACTAATGAAAACCAAGGAAATGGGGAAAATCTAAGATTCTCTCTGAATGTAAATCATTCTCTCTAGACAAAGTAATTTCACAAATACAATCTGCCGTCATAGAAATTCGAAAATTCTCATTTAAAAGTCAAAACCGTTCTCTGCGAGTACCGCAATCCATTTAGAGACCAAGTCTAGAATTACTCTCGTTTCTTACCATTACCGTGATATCTTTCCGTCTTATCGACGAAGATTATCGCGGGGAGAGCCATGAGAATTAGCGATCGAGACGGCGAGATCGACAGATCGCATCTGATCTTGGGTGTGTGTGTGTGGGAAAGTTAACGACGACCAACGATCAACGACTGACCTCTCGGCGGCTGCATCCCAAGCTTTTTCATCCCTTCTCGGACCTCCTCGAGGTCTGTGTCCGAGACCCTCATGGTATCGGATACGAACTCGTGACCTGGCGAATCGGCTAGCGCGCTGTTACTGCTCGCCGTTGTGACTCCGGTGGTGGTTGTCTGGCCAGTGGTCATTTGAACTGTTTGCAAGACAACACTGACGGCTAAACTATATATGGGTAGGGGTGCGGGTGTATGTACGTGTTCGTGTACATGAGGATGCGTGTTATTACGTACATTAGCACGTGTGTTTATGTATCTAATATACTATAACGCTAAGTCTACTGGAATCTGATTTTGCACGCAAACGATCGGTAATCAGGTGAACAGGGGTGCCTCCGATTTGTTTACCGAAGCCGATTGCGCTCAGTTCCAGCAACGCGGAATTAGAACCTTGATTAATCTAAGCGCGAAAGAGGGGATGACGGTTAATTAGATTTAAGAGATATCGCTAGATCAAATCACGCGCGCGTTCTAAATTTTCACGAAAGTAACTGTTAACGCGATTGTGTGATTGTATAAGGAATCTACTCTTGAATCTACATCGCATACGAAAATCTATAATACACGTGACATATATTGTAGGATTTTTTCGTATGTGACATTTTTCAAGGATGTCAAGACCGATTATTATTATTCGGGACTGACACATGCACGGCGAAATAACGAATGGAATCGAAATATTATATTTATATTGGCGACAAAAGTCATCGTTATTCACGGTCTAAATGTCAGGGAAAGTCTTCGGGATGTTTCTCGACGTTTAAGAATACTGCGAAATGCCGCTCGTAAATCTTTAGAATGCAAAAATACCATTCTTTCATACCCATCTTTCATCATCTGAGAAATATTTGGGATATCCGTATTCTTCGGCCGAATATTACTGAATCTCCAAGCGTTTTCTTCCCGCGATTCAATTTCTCGCGATACACTGGAACTGGAGCGAAATCGGATCTTTCCTCCACTCAAAGGAGAGACGAGAGTCTTCGGTTCGATGATCGGAGACACGTGACGGTGCGGTGAAGAGATGGAACGTGAAAGAGAAAAAGAGAGAGAGAGAGAAGGAGTAACAGCAACCCAGATCCCTATTCACGGAATAATCTTTGGGCTTCAAGGGTATTTTAACGCGCGCGTTCGCCCATTTCCCCGTAATCGATTTCCCCGACTCGACCACCGAGTATTTCCCTTAATCCGTTAATTCATCTGCACCGATCGCAATTACATTGTTTGCACAGTTAAAGAGTTGATCACGAGACTCCTACTCTTTCTTTCTCCCTTTCTCTCTCTTTCTCTGATAATCTCGATGTGACACCACGTTTCGTGCAAAAGCTCATGTACACAATGGAACGCATTGCTACAGATCGTTGACGTTGATCTACTGTTAAATAAACTGCTTCGTCCGAAAAATTTAATTCGAACAAAATTCTATACTCATCCCTTCTATCATTCAATTCGTGGTAGGAGGAATGAGATTTTGTTCAAAATCCCTTTTGTTAAACGAAATCAATTCATAATGTTTCATGAAAGAACATGGGACTTATTAGTAATTGATACCAACGCAAATTATTCTCGCATGAATTTATACGCACAATGAAGTTATATATTATACATGAAGAAATTGTTATTGATATATCGTGATATTACAATACATTGTGTAATATCAACTTGGTATCGAAATATCAGCATATCGATTTCGTGCTGCGTTAACTTTCACGTGAATTACGTAAATGCAACGTTTTACGCGTCTGAGTCGTAGTAATCACTGAATTTCAAATTCGATAACCCTGTCAAATATTCAAAGACGTTAAACGGTATCTTCGGCCGATTAAACTTTAAATTATAATTTCGTGCTTTTCTTGGATCAATACGTTCCCAGCATCCGGCATGACATTTGCACAGAAAACGCACGCCACTACAGACACACCATCTCAAAAACTCCACACCATGCAAAAAGGTCCATCGTAGGACGCTACTAATCGGAATTGCAAATTATGCGTAAATGCAGCGCGACGCCGCCGATCTCTCTGCCCTTTTCCGCAGGTTGCATCTTGCATCTTGCATCATTCAACCCGGCGGAGTTTATCTCGGCAAGACGTCGTGCCGCGATGTCAAAGGGGAAGTCCCGGCCGCGCGGACAATTGGAATTTTCCGATTTCTTAATGAATAATACCTCAGCCGAAAAATTCGGTCAAATATTATGTTCAGTATCACGAGTAGAGTTAACATATAATAATTAATATCATTATTATCTAATTGGACATCTTGATGATTGACATCACAATAGTAAAAGTATTATTTTTAATTTCATTCAAAAGTGCATATTGCTCACAATTGAATATCCATAAAATTTTGAATAGATTTCGGCTCATTAACATGTATGTATATATTTCAGCGGCATGTAGGACGTCCCCTTTTTAAGTTTACAGAAAGCGTGCTTCGTAATTCGATATTAACAGATCAGGAAGCGCGTTGAGCGACGATGCTCTCGAGCAAAACTGGAGAACCTAATCACGTCGCAATGCCAACGTCGGCGTACTACGCAAACCGTTCTACGTAACAAAGAAAAAAAAAAAAAAATAAAACAAAGTAAACGAATTACCTTGAGTATGATCGATGCTATCGGTGCTGGCGAGCGTTTGATTGGGGTTGCTTTCTGCTTGCTGTTGGCTGGCCATCGCGTTCAATTCGTAACCCTGACGCAGCAAGGACACCCGATAGAAGTAGTTGCGCCAGAAGTTCTCCTCGGATATACTACCGCAAATAGGTCGAATGAGTTCTCGAAATCGATAAAGGGGTTTCAACGAAAGGATCAGGTTCCAGGATCAGGATTAGTAGTCACGCTAATTAATGTTGCGCTTCGCGCAACGGTGCTTCATCGAAGTTGCAAACCGATTAATCGTCGAGACGATTAAATCAACATAATACTCATATTCCTGCACGGCACTTTCGCGCGATAATGCTAGCTTGTTGCCCTTGACATTTATGTACAGAAGTCTCGAAAGGGAAACGTAGTCAATTTCAAAGTGGTGAGATCAACTAATTGTTTAAATCAAGCAATAAATGAGAGGGCAAATTGGGCATTAACTTTTTATCAATGTTTTTATTGGCTGTTCGTTAACAACCTACTGTAAAATTCTTTTCTGACCTTTCTCTATTCGTGCACCGTTTTACTGAAATAAACGAAATTATGAGGACAATAAAATGCATTATTTTCATCGAATGTTACGACGTAATTTAATTAACTTTTTCATGTTTCGTAGAATATAAAATTAATTGAACATGATCTCCGGTACTTTGAGAAAGACCAAGTTCACGAATCAATTAATGAAACTAAATTATATTTTCATGATAAAAATTATATTTTGATAATAAATTTTATAATTAATATAAACTTTGTAATTTTCATTCGTCGACAATGTAATAATAACCAACATAAACGTTATTTCATTTTTTTATTACATATTGCTTATTGCGATCAGAATTGCGATTTTCCGAGTGCATTTTTATTTTTGCAACATAAAATACGTATCATAATCATTAATTTTATATAACATACGTGAGATTATAACGTATACTTGCTTTATGGCGAATTTAGTTTTAATAAAATTATTTAAAAAATCCTAAAAGTAATGAGAATTAATTGAAAAACGTAAACCTATTATTTTCGACATTTTCGTGATACAAAATAAATAGAGTGGAAGAGAGACATTATGGATCATTATAACAAGGCATATTTTAATCTACTTACACTTTCGGGACAAGCTCGAACCTCATAGCTTCAAGATTCGGATCCAGGGCAAGGGTGGCCTGTGCCATTGGCTGAACAGCTTCGAAATCCCAAGCGAATTCTACGCCTGGTGGTGGTGCTCTCACGAAATTACGTCGATCCTGAAATCCATGAGAAGGTTGAATCCTCGTTTAATTCTCCCGGCTTGACTAAAGCCAAATTCGTGATCCTTTATAACGATGCTCGAGAAAATAGCAAAATGTAAATAAACAACAGAAACATTCTTTTCTCAAAAATGGAAATATTTTTTCTAATTAATCGCTACCAGCAGTTTCAA